GTGATATGTTCATGTAGGTAGCAGTTTGGGATTAGATTTTGTGTTGGCCCTCCGAACTGAGTATGTTTTTGTGTTTAATTATGTGTTTGTTTTGAATTATGGCATTTTGTCTGCATTGTCTGTTGAAATTGATGTTTTGTGCTATTATCTCTATAGTCACCCATATATTATTTCATGAAGTCAAATCTAGGTAGAAAACAGCCCCTGGAGAAAAATCATGAACCCAGTTGTTGAAATATATAGAAAAGCTGAAAAGGTATCACCAATATCAATATGATTATAATATCAAATCATAGTAGTTGATGGTGTGTTGCTACTAGTACATGTATCCTAATCTTATATTAGTGTATTTATAAATGATAAATGATGATACATGGAGAGGTGAAGATGGGGGAGAATGTGACAGAGATTAATGATAATAAAACTATATTTAATTTATACACAAGCAAGTCTGAGTTGTTAATACATGTCTATCAGATTAGATTCCAGTTATATTAACATGTTCCTTAAAATATTGATAGAATTCAGGTTATAAACAACCTAGATTCTACATTTTATCATTCTTCTCTTATGGATTATTTATTGAAGAAAGATTGTAAATGATGCTAGATTGACAACTGATAGTTTATCAAGTATATTTTGACCGGTATCCTTCATCTTCAATCATGCATATGGGTAACCCTTGTTTACATTTGGTCAATAGGCTGTCATTATGGTCATTAAACATAATTTAATCCATCATGTCCACCCTATCCTAAAGTTCTCTTAGTAATACTACAGTAGCAAACCTGCATACTATTATCAGCCCTATTAGTTGTGGCGGCAGTTGGAGACTATATTGGCATGATGTATTTCCTGGAAAAAATGGAGTTTAAAGCTTTACTTTTCTGCACCAGCCTGGCTATTGTAGATGGACACCATGCAATGCATTGAGTTATGACATCAGCTTATTCTGATCTTTAACATGCTGTAAATGACCTCCAAATGACTATACTCTACACAGGATTGAACTGCGACCTCCTTTTTAGTAAGACAGTGACATATTCACCGAACCACTGTTGTTTCCCATTTTTTAATAGTCATTGGCATTTTTTCTTCTTTTAAAAGCAAAAGTTGTTATAAAAATATTAAAAATAATAATCCCCTAAAAGTATCTTGGCATTTGCTAAGATATTACCCCGCTTCTTTAATCTAAATATGAAAATTGCATTTTTTGCTCTGATTGCCAGTATCTATTTTCTATTACCATTATAATAATGTAATTAATGTTTATATTTGTAATGGAATTGTAATAAAAACAAGCTCACGCTCCCTTCCCCCTCATCAAATTCTACACAATGTTGACCGCAACGTGAACAGTCTTATCAACTCTTGTCCATAACCATGTGACCATAAAATGTGAAAAAATGCAAACTTTAAATCAGTCAAGATATCACTTAGTGAATCTTTCTGATACATAGGTAACAAACACCAATGACCCACTTGTACATAGGTAACAAACACCACTGACCCTTTCAACATGAACTAAAACCATTTATTAACTATATAATTAGACAAGTACTATTATTAGCTAATTAGCCTAGTACTAATATAACAAATAAATGGTTTTTTTACTGTTTAGCTAGGAAATATGCATGGTGACAGCAGCTTTTATTTTCATTATTGTGCCATCAAGCTGGTTCTATGGCTTGCTTACATGCAATGAAACATGATGCCCTATTGGCTGATTAATAGGTAAATGGTGAAAACTAGCAATCTAGACAGGCTGTTAAAATCAAATATAACTTTTTTTTGATAAAATAATCACAAGATATTTCCCAAATTACACTATGCAGTGAGGGAAATTCTGCCCATACAGCAAGTGTCAAAGGTTATTTTTGTCCCCCGCCTTTCGAAGAAAGCAGGGGACTATTAAAATGGGTTCGTCCATCTGTCTGTCTGTCTGTCTGTCCGTCACACTTTTTGGGACACAATAACTCTCTTCCTAATTGAGCTAGAATGTTCAAACTTGGTGTATGTGTTTATTAGGTCAATGCCTTGATGGAGTTCGAAGATGAGCATTTTCCGCTTAGGGTAAGCAGAGATAAGCAATTTGATTGGTTGATGCTTTGGGACACGATAACTCTCTTCCTAATTTGGCTAGAATGTTCAAACTTGGTGTATGTGTTGATTAGGTCAATGCCTTGATGGAGTTCGAAGATGAGCATTTTCCGCTTAGGGTAAGCAGAGATAAGCAATTTGATTGGTTGATGCTTTGGGACACGATAACTTTTAATTGAGCTAGAATGTTCAAACTTGGTGTATGTGTTTATTAGGTCAATGCCTTGATGGAGTTCGAAGATGAGCATTTTCCGCTTAGGGTAAGCAGAGATAAGCAATTTGATTGGTTGATACTTTGGGGCACGATAACTCTCTTCCTAATTGAGCTAGAATGTTCAAACTTGGTGTATGTGTTGATTAGGTCAATGCCTTGATGGAGTTCGAAGATGAGCATTTTCCGCAGAGATAAGCAATTTGATTGGTTGATGCTTTGGGACACGATAACTTTAGTTCTAATTAAGTGAGATTGATGAAACTTGGTGTATAGTTTCATTACAGTAATACCTTGACTAAGTTTGATAATGAGCATTTTCTGCTCAGGGTAAGCAGAGCGATACGCAATTTGATTGGTCGAGACTTTGGAAGTAAAGATATACTGTTTGATTGTTCAATACTTTGTAAAAGATAATTTGTGATAAATTTATATGTGTCCTCTAATTATTTTCCTATTTCGGCGGGGGACATCAGCCTCACTGTTGGCTTGTTTATAAATGCCATGGTGTAGACAGAACCTTGGCTTTTTTTGTCCCATCTAAACATTGCACTGTTCCTTGCCATGTCCTCCATCCTATACCACTGACAAAGAGAAACCATGCTGGAAAATTCCAGGGTACCTTATCAGCCAATACTGGGTTAGAACCCCAGACCTTTTAAAAAATGAGCCAGTACCTTACTCACTGAACCACTGTGGCTCTCACTATATTTGGTTTTAACTGGATTTTGTTACAATTATCTGCTTGAGACCTGCAGTACTGTATTGGTTGTTTTGTAATATATAATCTTCATAGTTTAAAATAACCTCACTGATAGAAATTTGAAAAAATCTTGAATATTTTATGAGTTATGGCTCCCCCCCCCCCCACCTCCCCCCTGAAGAATGATAAAATAAAAACCCAAAATTTTCGAAAGTTTATACCGTACAGATGTGTAAACAGTTCCTGTAGTTAAAGAGTATAAGCTTAACTGAGAATTTGAATGTTTAAATTCTGTTACTGGTTGGTCTGAACTGAACTATTTCACAGTGCTTTACGTCTGATAAAAACATTGTATTCTGTAATTTTTTTCGCTTAATAAATCTCTAACTTTAGTGTAAAACATAGAAAATCCATTGCCTGTCCTCATTAAATAGATTTAAATAGACGTGTCACGCAAATCGGAACCTTTGAAAATACCCTGAAGCAAGAAATGGCTCTAGCTTTTAATTTAAAAACTCAATTTCTATCATCTTTGTGCAGACAATTTGACAATTAATGAGAATTCATCAATATAAAGGATTTGGATGTAGACACGATCAATGATTCTGTCCAAATTTATACAGTTGACGTGTCCTTTGAGTCAATCTCACGGTAGAACAATTTAAAATTCAGTCTGAAAACTTATGTTAAGCCTTATTATTATAACTATATTATCAGCAAATATTCTTGTATTCCTAATTTTTGTAAGGTAATACGATTATATTTTAGATTATGTATTATAAAATGGTCTGCTCTATATCAGCACCATATTTATTCGGTAATTTGTCATGGGTATATTGAGGTGAAACTGGAAAACCAGATTTATCTATTGAATTCAACCTTCAAAGAAAGGAACTATCAATTTAAGACATTGTAAATAAAATACATGGTCATTTTAGTTGATGTGGACAATGTCTATATTTTCAGAGACGGTAAAGCAGTAGCATAATTAAATGGGTATCTTTTAGTTTGTGATAGTTTGTCTTTATTTTAAGTTTTAAATTGTTTTCTTTTGGTATGAAGTTTATTAAATATTCCTGTTCATTAGTAGTATATAATTAATTTTTTTAGAGAACTATTTGCCATTAACATTTTCAGCTCCCAAAGTGCCCTAAAGAAGTGTCAACATTATTTGGATACTTAATATTATATAGTTTTGCAAGAGGAAGCTGTACTGGTAAAAAAAAAAACCAAAAACATTTCTATGTTTTTTTTCCCATTCATCTGTCAATAGATTGATTTGGTTTAGGATCTAAAGCTTCATTTAATATACATTGATTTTATAGAAATTTGAGTCTAATTTCATTCTGCTGAACAAAGAGTAGTGCAGATAAATTTTATTATTTAGATGATTCATATTGATCGTAAATGAATAAAACATTGAAAGTGAAGACAATTTTTTCCCCCCTTATCTTGTCAACCAACGTATCATGTCAATATTCTGGCAATCATGTTCCGTCCTTTAATCTAGTTACTAAAATTAGATTTTTATCTGTATAAGGTGTTCATGTATCTGTTATGGCTTTCAGGTTTTTATGATAATGAATTTTATTTAAATGTATAATGGAGATATACTGTCTAAAAGATTGACTAATATCCATATTACAGTCTTTTGTTTGTGATCTAGTTATAGCTTGATTTGTCAATAATATATATTGATTGCAAGATTACTGAAGCAGAAATTAGCATGTCTTTTGTTCAAATTAGTGTGAAATGAGTTTTATTTCAAACTGAAATGGGATTCTGGTGATTTTTAATCTAATATTAGTTTATAAATGTAGCCAGGAAACTGACTCTCCCCTGGCAACGTCACAGATTCTGAAATGATTGATTTTGTACCAAGTCTGATCTTTAATTTTATTTGAAATGAAGTTACGTTTTGGCATAACCTGTAATGTAATATAAAGTTTGTAAATTAATAAACCTGTTATATAGTATTTAACTTACCCGTAAATTCGTTAATAATGCTGAAAGGCATAACAATAAGTGATACCAAAAAGTCTGTGACTGCCAGGGACAAAAGAAAATAATTTGTAACATTTTGCAGTCGTTTTTCCAAAGATATGGCCATAATCACCAGTAGGTTTCCACCGATTCCAAACAGAACCAGTGGACACATTATTAGTATTGTCCAATTATACACTTGTGTCTCTGAAGATATATCATCTCCTGAACTGTTGAGAAAAGTTTCATTGATATCCTGATGCCAGGCGCACATGTTTCCAGAGTGAATGTAGGCGCCAATGCTTTCCAGAGGCAGAAATAGATGGACATTTGGGATCAAAGATTTATCTAATTTAGTTGTATTGGAGGGAAATTTTACGTGCACAATATCTCCACCACTCTCTGAGCACATCACTAACACTTGTCTTTTATTTTCTTCACTGATTACACTGAGATTGTTAACATTTTAGACAACTACGTTTTGCTTATATCCCAATCTTTGAACACCACTTGTCACGCATTTTGATAAAAAAAAAATTGGTTGGGTTGATAAGAAAGCTACATGTTAAATTCCAGAAAAAGATATAAGATGCTAGCATTTAACTCCTTGTCTTTGCTGCTTGCCACCATTGATTTAACTATCAATTTGATTTCTACTGGCAGCTACCCAGAAACGGTCTCACACAGCATACTGTTAAAGATGCCCCTTTACTAATACTAGAGTATTTTGTTGGCGAATAATGCTTACTCCATTCCAGAAATTGATAAAATTACTTCACACTTCCAATATTTTAATATATTCAAGATGTGTCTTAACAGATTTAGAAATTGGTATTTAAAACAAAATTCTGTGTATAACAGATATTACTGAATGTGTGATCATACTTTCTGGGTGTGGGGGGGGGGGGGGGGTCCTAATATCTGTCTTATAAAAGTGTGAATTGCACCTCTTATTAGATAACAGTATTGCCTTTTAAGTTGATTTAACACAACACTATTTCATTCTTTACTTTAATTTGCTTCCACTTGATGAGAGGAATAAAATGCTTGAAATAGTGTAATCCATTGCTATCCCTTTCTTATTTCACAATGGTTTTCAATCACTTTTAATTTGATAAACACACATTTCATATCTTCTGACAATCCAGTATTATGATGATTTTTTTTAGTCACATTTTCCTGAAGATAAAAAAAAGAATACAATAAGCTAGAAGCAACAAGTTAATAAATGAAAATATAAGAATTTAGGTTGGATACAAACCATTCTACGAGCTTTGGAATGAAAAGAACAGGAATCGATATCTATATTAAGAATAAAGCACCCACTTGATCTAGAAAAATATGAATTTATATCTCTATTTCATATACATTGTTAGCGAAGTGAGTGATCAAGTTTTTATAAGACCACTTTTAAAGTTATTATTACAAATAAATTACATACAGTCACCTTTACCTTATGTAGTTGGAATGGTGTTCACCATTTTGTCATTGCTTGCAAAAGAGGACATAACCCCCCAGAATTATCAGTTCCAATTGACAGGACTTTGCAAGGCAATAATGATATCTGTGCCTGACACTATTGATAGTATAAGGTGTGTCTATATTCAACCAATTTTATCTACCATTAAAAGTTTTCAGTGAATTTTAATAAGATTACCTGTTTGGATTCAGTCTAAAGTTAAAATACTGTACTTTTAAATTTGTCTTGCTTGCACCTACGTACAGGATATTCTTGTGGAACAGATCATGTTTTGTTTCATATGTATTACTAAATTTCAAAGTTAAAACAAAATTTTGTGTTCACTGATCATTTGGTCTGATATGAGATTGGTGGTTTAGGTTGGTTGAGAAATTTGAATGGATGTGAATGATTGCCCTTTAACTATATAGCTTACACAGAATTTTTTTTTTTTCCTATAATAGCCTGGTAGCTATCATATAGATTTCAATCTACTATTTTACAAAAAAAAAAACACTTCATAGATAAAAAATGTTAAAAAAAACCCCCGTAAAATATATCTTTTATGAAACCTAGGTAAGAGTGATTTGAAAATGTAATAATGGAATACCAATTGACATATGTTTTAGTTTAATCTCAAACAAAAATCAGTGTCAGTGATGAAAAAGATCGGTGAAACGTATACTATTAAGGACCACACCCCATTGGCTACTGTATTACAACTAAAATATAAGATAACGCATTGTTCATTTTTAGCTGAAGGTGAAAAGCATCAAATTAACCTTGAAGGAAAATTTAACCTGTATCTGATAAAACAAGTTTGTGATCACACCTTGAATGTCATTAAACATGCCATTTATTTCTAAACTGGTTTAGCGCTGAATTCTACTTTGCCATTACAACCCATTAATTGGGACATTAATTATAATATTTACCTTTGAATTTTTATCAAATTTTAAAACATGCAAATATAACTCTGTAATTATAATATATAGGAAATAAATGAGCAAAAATGAATTTATATAATTGCGATATTGGAAAGTGCAAAGTATGTTTGTACCGGTAACATTATTGTCAACTACATCTGCTTCAGTGATGAAACTGAAAAGTCATACATATATATATATATTATGTATGTTTAATCAAGGCATCTGAAACTACCTTCCACAGCATTGTGTGTGATCCACAAAAATTCATATGGTATTGCAAATCACATAACGTGTAAATAATACCACTGACATTTTACAAAACATGTATGATACATTTCTCATTAGTGTAATATTTAAAATTCAACTGTTTTTTGTATTTCTTGTCATATAAAAGCACTGTAGAACTCTTTGTTTTTTTATCTGGATAATTTTCAAACAAGTAAAAACGAATTATGCAGAATAACTATCTGTCCATTCTTGAAATTACAAGGAAATTTGCAGCTTGTTTATCCATATTTTAAGATTGATTGATATTCTATTGTTGACTAATGCCAATGAAAAAGCAGCGAATCGAAAGAAATTAGAATCAAAATTGACTGCTGGAAACAGGCAAGTTGATGTTGGCAGTCATTGAGACAAAACAAAATAGCTGTTCTTATAAATTTATATTTATTTTTGTTTCCAGCTACAAATGCCAGTAAATACTGTATGTTAAAAATGTATTGGAACCTAGCTAGAACTAGTAGGATTGACAGATGGTGAGATTGAACTGATCAGCTAGAGAGAATGATTTAAATCACAATCTAGTCACACTGCTATCTCTGGGAAACGGGGAGTTAACTAATTATTACATTTCCCTGGTGAATAGCACAATAACCCTCAATCTCTATACCACAAATGTATGGAGCAAATAAGTACTATAAATTCCCCAAGTTTGTGTTTGCCATTTAATTACCCATCTGTAGGTATCATTAGATCAGATTGGTTTAGAAGAACAACCAAAATTTTAGTAGATACGGAAAAATGGTTTGGATATGTGTTATCTTCATGCTATCTTCTACATCGTTTTTCTTATGGTATAATAAAGTTTTCAAAACAAGCTTAGAAGAAGGCATGTGCGTCCCAAGTTGTATTAATATGCAGGAAATTAATTATACAGCTCAATCCCATGCATTTCATCAACAATCTGTGCTGTACAAACCAACCATTTATTTCCAGATTTATATGTTGTAGGACTTCTTTTTAACATAGTTTTGTATATATGTAAAATCAATTCAGAGTCCTGCAACAATTATTTGATTGACACTGAAAACATTTATAACCAATTTTAAGAATTTGTGAATAAATGAAATGGAGTTTAACCTCCTACTGTTTTGCTCCAACTGGGCCATGAAGTGGGGCATACAGTGTGCTAAGATTTTTGCTATGGCCTACTCCTATATTGAATTCCAACTGCCAAGGGATCTTTTGCGTGCATGCCAGTATGTACACGGGACATCGTTTTTTCGTCCCATACAAACAACTAGACAGCTGTCCTTGTCAGGCCCTCCGCCCTGCACCACGGACCAGTAGAAACCATGCCAGAAAATCCTGATGAATGTTCTTGGCCAACACAGGGATCGAACCCACAACCTCCAGGCTATTGAGCCTGTGTCTTTTTCACTTAGCCACTGTGGCTCCCCTTTGTGAATAAAGTTTGTGTCAGTGAATATTAAACCTCATCTCTCTCTCTCTCTCTCTCTCTCTCTTTCTCTCTCAGTTACTGGTGGGCATATATCTTTTGTTACCTGTTTTAAATTTATTGCCTCAGGTCATACTTGATATTATTTTTATCAAATCATCAAAGCTTACAGTACTCCTATAGAATGGCTCGTGGGGTTGGATGGCCGAATGAGTCAACTGGCGTGGTTTTGATTCCCCGGTTGTACGTGACAAGGAGTAGAGTCGTCTGTCCAATCTTGTGTGTTTTCTCCGGGTCCTCTGGTTTCCTCCCACTGCTAAAGACCCCTACGCTCAAGCGAATTATTGAAATAAAATTGAACCATATGTTAGTCGTGAAATAACCTAGTTTGTGTCTTGTGTCTCTCTCTCATTGAATGGCTTGAAATGTTTGCCTGTCTACTTGTTGCGAATAGGCGATTTTTAAATCTGATAGGTAGCTTATAAGTTATAGCAAGGAAAACTACCTGTGATTGCGACAGGTGGACTAAATTTTACTTGATGTTCAGTAAATTGACTTAAGACCAGAATACTCATGTATCACATCACATATATTTAATTATTCCTTTCCAAATGCAAGAATTAACCACGGAAATACAGCGAAAAAGCTGCTATTTACACTATTTACACTTGGCTCTATTGTACAGTTACTCATAAAGTTCTATGTTAAATCACAGCCAATTTTATAACAATTTTTTCATGTTTGACACTAGTTTAAAGCATTATGAAGTATCCACACTTACATATCTGAATAAATTAGCCCCCAAGTCATGTGACCTGATTCTACCATAACCACAGAATGCCGTACGGCACCAACAGTAAATATTGTTGTGGCTCGAATGCACACACTCATTGTCTGGTGTATTTAATCATTTAAAAGTTGAAGACAGTGTCTTTAAATAATCTACTGGAAAATTTGATGAAATAAAATAAGTAGTTCGGAAGGGTATCTTATCAATTAGATGGGGCCTTACCTGTCCTCCACATGAGGTGAATATAGTGCCATACACAAGTGTTTTGATATTCAATTTATTACAGATATTTAAACATGCATTAATAAACTTATCCAGACCATAATCAACTCTCTATGTCATCATTAGCTTGCGATATTTAGCAGATTTGAATACATTTTGTGATAGATAATTTAACGTAATAATGGATAATCAAGACTTTGTTATCGTACCAGCGTTAGTAATGACGATTGAGGCTATGCTAAAATCGAATCGCTAATATCTTCAGAGTGAAGCAATTTGACTGAAACTTTCAGCATATTTTGTTATCTATTTTCGAACTATTATAGCAAGAACTGTCAGCTCTCTATCTCATCTTACCTAATGCCCGTTTTAGGATCTAAATTAACACACTTCTCAAAGGTGAAGTCATTAGCCTTTCTATTCAATTTAAAGCGCAAGTTTGGTACATATTTAAAGATACATTATGGGAGATTTTTATAGAGAGTTGGCCATTCTTGCTATAACAGTTCAAAAGTAGATGATGAAAGAAGAATATATTGAAAAATTCAGTCAAATTACTTTATTCTGAACATAGTTATCATCGTTGTAATATTTGCCTAGAAATGGTAGCGAATTGTGTCTTCACCTTCTCTGATCGTTTGATTGACAGGCGTTAACTCCACCTACATATCTCGATTATCAAGTAAAGTTTTCAATGGCATACCGAAACGCTTTACAGCGGCCTCGCTAAGTACACTCTATCATTTAGCCTTGATCTAACTGACGTATTT